CAGGGGTTGCACTGGGGCAGTAGATCCGGCTGAGGGCAGCGAGGCTGGAGTATAGGGAAGATGTGAGTGGGATATAATTTTACTTTGCAGAATCTGCACTTTCCTTTACTCCCCACTTCTTTGCCTCCCTCCCCAACTATCTATTTAGCTGCATTCTCATCCTATCACCTTTTCTGCGTTACTCTCCCAAAACCCCTTTCTGCTCCCAAACTCCCTTTTGTACTCCCACCCCACATACTCTTCTGCCACCAAACTCCCTTCCAGACCCTGCCTCTCTCACCCTGTCCTGCATCCCTGTCCCACTCACTGGCAACCTTGTCCCGCACATTGAACCCCTCATTTTTGTCCCCATCCCAAAGCCTGGGGGGTGTTACAAAATCCACTAACCCTGGAACCCCAGAAGAGTAAATCTGGCCTATAGGAAGCCCTGAACCTTAGTCCTCCTTGTCCCCTCCTCTCACCTCATGGGGGCTGGAGTGCCAGAAGAGTGAGGTGTCTCAGTCGGGGGCCACATCAGTGAGGGTTGGGGCTTTTTGGAGCAGTTTTTTTGCTTCTCACTTGTGTGGTCTCCAAATGATTTTTGTGTGTGTCAGTGATCCCCAACCCAAGGTTCCCCATCTCTGCCATATAGAAAGAAAATATTGAAACCTTTTGTGTTGGACATACTATTTTACTTTATTTAAAATGAAGTTTGATAAACTAAGATGAGAAAGTTAAAATGCTTAATCTGTTGAATAATTTAAATTAAACCATTCTCCCCAGCTGCAGCACTAGCAAAATGGCTTGGGCTTAATTATGTAATTAACAGTGAGTTTCCATTAGCAACTGGTAGTCCATGGAAAAGTTTGCATTGACCCAGGTGGTCCGTGGGGCGCACGGTGGTGAGAACTCCTCCTCTCTCCTGGGAGAGTGGCATGGCCCAGGGCAGGAGGGTTAAATCTTGGTGCACTACTTCGGAAAGGTTGCTGATCTCTGTAGTAGAGGGTAGTATGTGGCCCAAAATTTAATTTTAACTAGCTTTGTAGTGTACATCACAATCCGATTTACAGCAGAACTTCTTAATACAGGGACAATACTGCAGTGCCTATCCAGGAAGAATTCCCAGTCACGTCTTTGGGAATTTTTCCTGAGTAAAAATTTTAGGGGTTGGCTTAACGCTAGCATATCCTGGCTAATACTGTATTATAAGTACATATGATTCAGTAAACTAAGGAAATGGTTTCAGCATGCTTCCTATCTACAGCAATTATATGAGGGTGTTACAATTGTTTTCTCATTAATTTGAGTGTCCCTTATTCTGAAAGTGGCTGGGTTAGGACAGCTGTCATGTTTCCATAGAAATGTTGGTTTGGTTTGGCTTCTTGCTCCCAGTGGCAAGCCTGTCGACTTACTAAATTGGTTTCACTTCCAGTAACAATACCTAGCTCTCCTTTGTAAAGTATGTTGAGATTTACTGATGGTCGGCCGGGAGATCTGTAGTAGAGCCGGAAATAGAATTCGAGTCTCTTGAGTCCTAGCTCAGTGCCCCGTCCACTCACTCCTTGTCATGTTACCCTCCCTCTCGGTCAGCCCTTCTCTATTTCATAACCAACTGGACTATATGAAGTCATTGCTCACTCTTGCTCCAGACTTCCCCCAACACTTAAGTGAACAAGACTCCTTTGACCGTATTGCTGCTAGCTCCCTTCCAAGTGCTGGAATGCTCAGACCTTTTCCCCAAGCTTCTGTTTAGTGCTCTTACAGCTAAAGTGGTTCAAGACCTTACAAGATCCATCCCTCACCTACATGCTGGGGTAGAAATAAGTCAAGCAAATATGTTTGCTTCCCTGCACAATCTCTGTTCACTGACAGAGATTCAAATAATAGAAAATAGGCCAGCTTCAATTTGCAGTTACTCTAGAAAGCCACCAGTGTAACTTTGATGGAGTTCCTCTGGTTTTACACAGGTATAAATTAAAACAGAACTGGGTACAAGGACTCTAGGTCTTTCTTATAATGAGAGAGCAATGGATAATCTTCACTGCGGTTTCCTTTTTGTATCTTGTAGCACAATGTTGCTGTGGAATCTTTATCACCTTGTTTTTTGGAAAATACTGGTTGCTACCTGTCCTCTATGCAGTGTGGCTCTATTTTGATTGGGAGACCCCTCAAACTGGAGGGAGAAGATCAAAGTGGATCAGAAATTGGACTGTTTGGAGGTACTTTAAGGATTACTTTCCAGTTCACGTGAGTAAAATGTTTCACACTGATTTGTGAAAATGCAAATCAAGATGGCTTTTTATAGTGAACATTTTGATCCAGATTCATTCCTGGCATAACCCTGCTGAAATCATCGGGGTTATACCAGGAGAGAATTTGTCCTGTCTTCTGTAAAACAAGTTTAGGTGAAGAAAATCTGGGGTGAGTGACAGGGACAATAGTTGGGGACTGGTTCTTTTGAGCTGAACCTTTTAAGTAACCTCAAATGGGAGAAAAAAACTCAGATATTGTAGTGATTACTTACCTGTTAATCTGAGACACAACTGAGCTCTTTATACTTACGTCACTTAGAATGATCTAAGATGCTCAAAGGAAATGAAATTTTGGTGATTTATGCACTGTATTATGAGCAGCCTCCTTGCTCCTAACATTCTTCCTATGTTTATGAACTACTGTGATGAACATGTTTTTAAACTCATACTTCATTTATATTATTTTCAGCTCATAAAAACATCCGATTTGGAGCCAAGCCATAACTATCTATTTGGATTTCACCCTCATGGCATTCTTGTTGCTGGAGCCTTTGCAAACTTTTGCACAGAACATACAGGTTTTAAAGAATTATTCCCTGGTTTTACCCCATATCTTCACATCTTGCCCTTGTGGTTCGGATGCCCTTTCTTCAGAGATTACGCCATGAGTGTTGGTAGGTGGAGCAAAGATCTCTTGGTTAGTGCTTCAGATATGGCATTTGTTTCAAGTGAGCTGTATAAAGATATAGGGCCTTGTCTTTTGTCTATTGAAGTCTAAGAAAAATGCTGCCATTTAACTTCAATAAGACCAGGACTGGCCCTGTAGAAAATCCATTTATAGCAAACAAAAGCACCCTAGAAGGCTTTATTGTACTTCTAATGAGCTCTGATATTGTGAGTCATCATTTAAAGTGACTTGTAATGAAATTCCTGAATTATTTTAATATATAATAACATGGCAATTGTCATTCCTGTAATGCAGCCCCATTCTGTACTACCGAAGTCATGGGAGCTTTGCCAAGGGAGCTCTTGTACATTCCAAAGGCTAAAGCGTCCTCAGTGGAACTGGCGCAAGCGGGGACTGCTTCATTCCCCTTCGAGCCGTTTCCCCGCTGCGCCCCTGTCGCTCCCCCCATGGAGACAGTGGTGGCAGGAGCCAGCTTTTAAGCCAGATCCCACCAGCACTGGCTCCTGCTCCCCTCCCCTTCCTGCTTCTCTCTGATAGAAGCAGCCTGGGAGGTGAGGAAGCAACTAGTCAAGTCACTACTCGATTATCCAATAAGCTTATGCTTATTGAATAGTTGACTAGTCGCTTACATCCCTAGTTGTAAGTGGATCCAATTTCATTTTACTTTAATGAGTTGCATTGGTTTACCCAAGGTTCAGGTTAGACATTTACTAAAATAAATAATGTTTGGTCATGCAAAGCAATCCCCATTATGGTCAGTAGGACTGCATGCATAAGTCAGTGTTGCTGATTGGGCATCTCCCTTACAAACTGATAATTAAGTACTGTAGGCCTGTCTCATCTGTACAGGAAGAACTCACTGCTGCACCTAGAGTCTTTTTCTTCAAACTTATGATTTAGGTAGATATCAATTGCAAGAACAGTCCCCCAGCTCGCCAGGGACTACAGGTTCCTGGGGGTTTCCCCCTTTTCCTCTGTTTTTCCTGCTTCAATGTAGAGAATCGGCAAGTATAGTGCTTTGGCCACGTGACAGAGCGTCCCAAGGACGAAACCAGGCAAGAGTCCTGAGCCAACAATAACAACATCTGCCTAAGTCAATGACCTTTGAGGATGCTGTTTTTGTGACGGGGAAAAAGCAGTTTGGGAAAAAGCAGTTTGTAAACTTTTAAGGGTATAAAGGTAGTTGTAATCTTGCAATAAAATGATTTCGTGCTTGCACCGGCCGGAGTCCGTGCCTTCATACACCACACTTCAGGGCCTACTGTAAAAGACTGTCTCCTCCTCCAAGCCATAAACCTGAGAGGGACTCTTCCTCAGACATCCTACTGCAGTTTCCCCGTTATCTGAGCAATCTCAGTCTTTGAAAGCATCATAGCTCTAATAACTGACCAGGCTATTTGATCCTTGGATGGTCAGGATCCACTGGGATGTAGGTGATTTTTTGTAGGCAAAGCTGGACTGGGCCTAATTTTCCTTAAAGGGTGAATCAGCCTGTGACAAAGTCACATTGTTGTAATCTGATCTGTACAGGCAGACCTTTTTGCCGATTGAAATCAATGGAGCTCTCCCTGGGCACAAGGCACCATTCATGAGGATTGGATTACAGAATGGAAGCAAAAAGCTTTTATTTATGGTGGGATCAATTTTGTTGAAGGAGAAACTATCTATCCTGTCTATGTTAGGTACTTGGATGACTGCCTATTATCACAGTATCTGAGTGCCTCACAATCAACACAGGCAAACAACACAGGAATGCAGGGGCAAGATTAGAAAGGCAAAGGCACAAAATAAGCTCAAACTAGCTACGGGAATAAAGGGAAACAAGAAGACTTTTTATAAATACATTAGAAGCAAGAGGAAGACCAAGGACAGGGTAGGCCCACTGCTCAGTGAGGAGGGAGAAACAGTAACAGGAAACTTGGAAATGGCAGAGATGCTTAATGCCTTCTTTGTTTCTGTCTTCACTGAGAAGTCTGAAGGAATGACTAACATAGTGAATGCTAGTGGGAAGGGGGTAGGTTTAGAAGATAAAATAAAAAAAGAACAAGTTAAAAATCACCTAGAAAAGTTAGATGCCTGCAAGTCACCAGGGCCTGATAAAAATGCATCCTAGAATACTCAAGGAGCTGATAGAGGAGGTATCTGAGCCTCCTGTTGTCATCTTTGGAAAATCATGGGAGACAGGAGAGATTCC